CGGGACTTTGCCTGCGCAATGGGGCCGAGGTCTGTGGCCAGTGGCAATCTACTACATGTTCACCATTACTATATGGATAATTACATACCCCACTTACTTGAATCATTATATATGTATATATATAATATGTATTGTGCAAAATCTCACAGATAGAATATTCAGCCCAGCCACTCCAAAGCGACTCGCATGTGTAGTCCAAGGTTGGCAAGAACGGGTCATTTGGCGGTGAACTACCCACGAATCCTAATCCCTGGTGATTTCACTGGGATAAGTAGGGTATTCATCCACTTATATATAACATTATATAACTATAGGGTGAACTAACCTACTTACTGGGATGAGCCACCAAGTATAGATTCCCCAAATGGTGGATGTCCCATTCGATCTTCGGACTGAAGGTCTCCGGCAATCAAACATACTAACCCAAATGCGAACCATGGTGCACCCAGTAATGTAGGTAAATATACCATACATGGATCATATGGGTAATGAAATATCCACCACTTTAGTTCCATGATTTTCTCATTCAAAGCTCCATCTATGTGGGACTATATCTTCATCATCAATTATATCCCGTGAAAAATCATTAAAAAAACATCTTTGTAGGATTTGTAGGATCACTATGGTGCTGCCCAGTGATGTTCGTCGGTTTACACACCCAACTAACTAGTTTGCGAGGCCAAGACTAGTTCGCGATATATCTATAATTCTAACATAAACCATAGTTGAACTAGGCAAAGAAACCAACTTGGCTATCGTTCTGGGACCCCACCTTACGATAAACCTTCATCTTCTCAAGAATATGTGTATGTGTACACCAGTTATGGTACATCAGGAACTATCAAATTAATTTTCACCAGTTGCATTCATGTGGGTAAAACAATAAAATAAAACCATCCCCCAAATCACCATAAATAGGTGGTGTAAACCATTCCCAAATGAGTGGTTTATTATTGTTTTACCCACATTACCCATATGTTTGACGGTAAACCACCTCTTTCTCGTCCCTCAACAACATTCTTGATTGGCCCACCCAACTAGCCACCAAATGTTTACCCAGTAGATATACTGGTATTGCTGGTTTTGTTGTTGAAAACCGTTTAAACACAAACTATATCATACTATCCATTCAGTTCACCAGTTGGTTTACCATCTGGTTATTCCCCTATTGTTGTTGGTACACACTATGTTTTCCCACGGACTCCACTTGGAAAACAGGTTCTAAGCCCGCCAAGTAGATTATCCACTAGGTTCTAAGCCCGCTTGACTTACAAACCACTTTGTAAATGAGCAGTGTTCAAAATCCACTGCCGTCCCTTTTGCTGATTCGTTCATAAGATTTCCAAACAAAAACTGGTTGGTGGTTTTAGCCATCTTGAAAAATATTAGTCAATGGGAAGGATTATCCTATGTATTATGGAAAATAAAAAATGTTCCAAACCACCAACCAGATGATCATCGCCGAAGCCCGAACTAATCATCAACCAAAGGTGTCTTGCAGCCACTCATTTAGTTCCATGACGTTCCCATTGAAACTCCATATTTTCCAATCATATCCCAATGATAGCCCTATAAAATCCTTTACCCTCTGGTAAATTAACATAACGAACTGGAAAATCACCACGCTATGAATGGGTAAATCAACTATTTCTATGGCCATGTCCAATAGCAAACTGTTAATTTACCAGAGGCAAAATCCCCATCAAATCCTATAAAATCCTCTGAGCATGGAGATTTCCTGAAATGGGGGTACCCCCATTTCATCATCCATATTTACAGGTTGGGATTTTCCATTAAAAATAAGCCATCAAAATAGATGGAAAAGCCCATCAGCCATCCCCATACCCTCTAGTAAACTAACATAACTATGGAAAACCATCATTTTTAATGGCTAAATCCACTATTTCTATGGCCATTTTCAATAGCTATTTTGATATAACCAGAGGGTAAGCCATCCTTCGAGGGGGTCCCTCCAGTCCCTCAAGCACCGTCAGCGAGGCCGAGGTCGATTGCGTTGGCGAGTCCGGAGCATCGGCGGCATCGAAGTCTTTGATCATGCCCAGGGACATGCGCCTCGAGGCGCAAGCGGCCGAACGGTGCCGAACGGTGCCGAACGGTGCCGAACGGTGCCGAACGGTGCCGAACGGTGCCGAACGGTGCCGAACGGTGCCGAACGGTGCCTGGGAGTTTGAAGGGATTTTATAGGGATTTATATGATTTTATAGGGCTACAATAAGGATATTCTTGGTAAACATGGAGTTTCTGGGGGGAGTAAAAATCGCAGGTGAATCATTCGGTGAAGCTTGGAATCCTAGGTTTTTGGGGAGGCTTAGATTTCAACATGAGTTCTTTAATTAGGACCTGACAAAATCTCTAATTTTTCGCTGACAAATTTTACCATAGAAGATTAAAGTACTAGTTCGTATCTAACCAAGGTTGAACCAGTTGAGTGGGCTTAAAACCCACTTATCAATGGGATACTCTACTTTGGACCTCATACAAGGTGGTGCCCCCCAGTTTTGTTTCTGGGTTTATAAACTATACAGTAGTTATTGCAATTACTGTAACAGCTATAACTGGCTAAGAAAACAGCATTCAAGTAATATGTTTCACAACTAGTTGCAGGAGTTACGTCATTCTATGGCCATAACATCTATAAACAATACAAGCTGGTGCCCCCGTTCGATAGCTAAGTTGGCGCAAATAACTCCAATTTCACTATGGAAATTATAGTTGATATATCTATGGATAATGGGCCTATAGCCAAGTTATAACTGGGGGGCACCACCTTGTAGTAATTAGTTCTTAACATACCATAAAGCATAGTGAAATCACACCATGTTAGATAGGGTTGTAAACCAACTTGCAACTGGCTGTGCCAGGTAAAACAAGTGCTTTTTAGCAATCAAACATGAGGTTAACCAGCAAAGGAACCAATAACCATGGCGTACAGTATGGGGTAGAGTTTTGACTGTGGTGTTGTAGGGCAGCAGCGAGGTAGTCTTGAAGACAGTTGCCTGCTTTGACCATTCGGGGTAAATTATAATATTTCACTAACCTGAATAGTTCGGCCATAAAAGGGGATGATTTCCCTTAGTAACCATGATTCCAGGTTTCGGTCGCAGAGAGGTTGTTATAATTTACCCAGATAAATTGGTTATAAACCTATTAACATCCATTAACTCTAGATATATCACCTATAAACCATAGTTATTGGCCTATAAACCTATCATCCAGCTATTGGTGTAGGGCAAAGATGTGTTTTGTTTGACATGGCTTGGAGGACCATTGCCTTGTAGGACGGAAGGTGATATGTTCAAACTGGAGTTTTGGCCATTGCTTTGGCAAAGCTAAGTGAGTTTCTAAATGTTTACAAGTACCCTCTGGTAAACTAACATAGCTATGGAAAATCACCATCTTTAATAGGTAAATCATCATAAATCATCTATAAATCATCTATAAATGGGCAATTTTCCATAGCTATCTTAAATTACCGGAGAGTAACTCGGATTTATGGGACATTTATGGTCATATCCCCAATTTTCACGAGGTTTATACATCAATAATTTCACAACGGGCATCTGACCACATTGCCCGTGCCTGCTCAGCCATTTCACTGCCATTCCGTGCCGCGGGGCCCGTGTTCGCGGACGCACGAGGTATAGGCTAAGTTGCTGACTGAACAACTTCAAGAACTTGCTGACTTCTACGAATGAAACGCGTGTACATTGTGATACATGTTGTCCTATGTTTTCCTACATGTAATATATTGTAATATCATGTAGATAATGTAGTAATATACGAGATAGTTGATATTTTACATCTGGGAGCGTGAAGATTCACCACGCTGCTCTCCCCATGTGGGACTTTGTGGGGCCACCATCCTTGCGCGAGCCAGATACTAACCACAAACATGGGTCAAACCACTTCAAAACACATGTCTTCTTTGAAGATGTTGACCCTACGCAGCCTAGTTTCAGAGCACATGGTGCAGGTTTCCACTCAGATCTCCAAGTCTGAAGCGTCTTACATTGATGATTCATGCCGCCTGAAGGGGGCTCTTTTTCGAATGGTTTTGCCACCAGGTGATGCCCACTGAAATAAGCTGGTCCGGTAATCACACATGGCTAGCTGGGCAATCCACTAGAAATGTTTTGAATGGGACACAACATCTATAAATGAACCATCAATAATGGGTAAAAATACTCCGTAATCCCATCAAATACTAGCTGCTAGCTGCATCATCCCCAATAACCACTGTATATAATAGTGCAACTCCCCCGTTTTATGATTTTTAACTTGTCTCCCCATATCTTTATACTTAAACTACCATAAAACCATTATAACTGGTGGTTAATTCCCACTAAAAAGACCAATCAACCTATGGTGTTTTTGGTCATTACTAATATTACTGTTGTGATGAAAACATAATAAATACCATTTTTCAATCCTTCAATAGATTGGATTAAGGGAAATTTACAGGAAAACCCCATATTTAAGGGCAAAATCTATGGTTTCCTGTAAATGTTTCCTTAAATCAATCCATTGAATCCTATACCAATCAGCCAATCAACATATGGTATGTAACTTTCCATGGTTCAAATGGTGGTTTCCAAATGCACGGGGGTACCCCTAGTCATCATCCATGTTTTTTCAGAATGTTCTACTACAAGAAACCATCCATTCATAGGGGTACCCCCATTGATGGAAACCTATCAACCATTATTTTTATCACTTCTCCTCATATAACTTATAATTAAACTACCATAAAACCACCAAAAAAACACTGCTGAAAATTGTGTATTTTTCAATAATCCAACTATATGATTCATATTAAGAATCATCAATGGATTATATGATCCATATAAACCTTATATATATATATAAACCATATGTTAACCATATGTAGTACCCCATTGATGGAAACCCCCAAACTTTGTGTATCAACCATTGAGATCATGAACATTTTAAGGTTCCCCCGGGACCCCGGAGGGGCCCCGGACGGGGTGGGAAACTTGCGATGCGCCACCACGAAGCCTTGAACCGCTCGTTGAGGCCCGTCCTGGATCGCAGGACATCGGCTGCGTTTTACGTAGGGAATGGAATGGGGGTTGCTGGGGGTTGCTGGGGGTTGCTGGGATGATTCATAGTTAGCCAGTGGATCATTCCCGAAAATTCCCGACTGAGCATCAGTAAGGCTAGTTGAAGGCTGCCTTCCGTCAGTGATGTTTGGTCATTACACCCCATTAATCATAGATATATCTAGATACATCTAGCATAAATCCCAGTTCTTGTAGTTATTTCAACGAACTTAATCTTAGTTCTCATAAGCAAAAAAAAAATCCCGGGGAAATCCCCCAACAAAATCATTTAACCTATGGGTTTTCCAAAAGTTATGGCCCAAAAAACCAGTTATATTAAGTACTTTATAACCCCATTTATGTATTATATAATCCCATTTAGAATTAACCAGTTATTTCACCATTCACAATTGGTAAACGGCCATAACTGCAGGGGTTCCCTTAGCGGCTTCCATGATGCTTTCCTTAACGAACCAGGGGCAGCACCGGCGGGTCCTGCGCCAGCGCCTGGTCGTTGCTGGGCGGAGTGGTGAGCATCACCCGCCGCAAGGTCTTCTCTTCGGCGATGACTTCCTCCTGGGAAGAGCCAGTTACTGTAGTGGTGAGAAATACGTGTGTGTGTGTATGTGGAGATATATATATATAATATGTATAATCTATAACTATATATGTATATATTAAGTTAAATAGATAGATTGATTGACAACAAGTCACTATAATGTCGTAAACTCAATAGTAAACCATCCCCAATAGAAGCTTATTTTTGGGTATACCCCTATTTGGGTATACCAATAATGGGAGTATAGTTAAACTCACGTGCTATCTAATTCAGGATCATGCTGATAATAATAATAATAATGATAATTAAAATATTATGTATATATATATATATCCATATATATATATAATGAATACATATAATGTAACAATGATCCACTAATCTGAAATATGGCCGTGTTGGCACGATTTCCCAGAGCATCAGAGCATATCAGAGCGCTGTGTCCTGCAAGACATCGATGTGTTAGACGTCGCAGTGAGGTCGTTATAATTTACACACTACATATAATTTATGTGTATATATATAATTATATATACATAATTTTTTAGCTAAACCAACAGTAAAGTCGACGGCTAGGATAATCTCATTCGGCAGAATTGCCAAATTATTGCCAAGACACGAGTTACTAAGGCCCTTTCTTCTTTTAGTGTTTTCAGCACTTGAAGGCCCTGTTTATATACATATGGGGGGTCAACCCAGCCAAGTTATGGAAATTTAAGCCTATAGTTGTGCCTATAGATTGGCATACGATGGTGCCCCGCAAAAAAATGCTGGTTTTCACCGTGAAGAACTGGAGATCTACCAGATCTACCAGCAATGGTGAATCATGGGAAAATCCATGCAGGATTTCAGCTGGAACTCTGAGGTTCTTTCCACTGAAGAGAGAACTAATATACCGATTGGGTTCATTGTGGGGGGCCTGTCATGAATAGTTGGATGGGGTTTCTAAAGCACGCTATTACTAAGGACCACCTTTGAAAGACTTGGAGATTTAGTCCTGAAAATTGGGAAATAAAAATCTACACTTGGGCAATCCCATCACCCTAATAATAAACACACCATAAATGGTCCCAATTATGTGGAAATTCCCTACTAAACCATGGTGTCTAAGGCTAAGGGGGTGTTTAATTATTAGGGAGAAGGGCAGGGGTTAAACAATGTGGATGTAACAATCCCCAAATCCAGATTGAACCATATTTCTTTTTGCATGAACTTTCCATCTCTCCAGGCAAAATCGACCGTGCTAAAATCAATATACAATGTGCCCGCCTCTCTTACCCAGATGCTCCATGGTGCTGGAATATTTACCTACATGTCCCCCAAAACTGCCCCAAATGTAGGCAAATATTCCATACATGGAGCATCTGCGTTATAACTTGCTTTTCAAATCGAGCATAATAAACCTGTAGATGAAAAACCCGGGCCTTGGGGGGCCACGCAACATTGCATGGCTAAGCCACCAGGTCCCCACTTCGATGGATTTGTGCTAAACCTGCCACTCGTTTCAAACGTCAAACGGTCCGTGCGGTCCGCAGTCCTCTTCTCCCCCCGCTTGTTTTTTTCTCCTTCGCCTGAAAAATACTGGGGATTCAAACAAGGACGGTGACTTTTTTGGGGGGATCTAGTGGGGACAAGGATGGGATACAATTTCCCCTATCTGAAAAAGAAAGGAAAAAGACGTGTAACAAAGTATACAAAATTTCAATCATGTAAACCCTAAAAATGTAAAACTCAAAAAAATATATCTATGTATATATATATATATTATCATGTAAATATGTATATATATATCAGTATATTATACACACAGTTCCAAGGCCTCGCGAAGTCGTTGTTCCGCAACAGCGCCTGGTAGCCGACAGAAATCCGCAACAACTTGGGCGGGTTTTCAGCGAATTTCTGGAGGTTATTGTAGGTTTGACATACATATTTTGGTTATAAGCCCTTGAAAACTATAGATATATCACCAACAAAAACCATAGTGATTGGAGTTATTTGCACCCACTGAACGCTATCGAACGGGTACCACCTTGTAGCTTTGACATGGTTTGACATACATATTTCTGTTGTAAGGCCACCTGTTTGCTGAGTAATCCCAACAGGATGGGGCCCTCAGTTCGAGCTCGCGTTCGAGATATGGCTGTGGCTGAATGAACTATGGTTTATGGTAGATATAACTATCACGAAGTACTTAATGGGGTTTATAAAGCAACTTGCTGGAAAACACCACCCTGTAGGTTTGACAAATATATTTCTGTTGTTAAAAAAATCTGGTTGTTCAGTGCATTTCCAGGGGCTGCAATTGGTCTTAAGCTTCAACACATCTTCCTGAAAAAAAAACTCCAGTTTTGTCTCCGCGGGGAACCACCACCGTGATTTGATGCTTTAGCCGCTAGCGGCATGTTGTAAGTGAAATACTGGTTGGTGGTTTTAACCATCTGAAAAATATTAGTCAATGGGACGGATTATCCCATATAGTATGGAAAATAAAAAATGTTTGAAACCACCAACCAGAATAGTTTGACCAAATACCTCCAATATCCCAAGGTTTCTTGCCTTTTTTGGCAAAGTCGAGTCTGGGTCCCATGCTTCGTTGGTTTCTAAGCCTCATGAAAAATCGTTTGAATATGTTCGAATATATCTACCATAAACCCAAGCTACAAAAACTCTGTTTACCCAAACTTCCTAAAATCAATCAACTACACATCCCATAAAATCGTTTAATTGTTATTGGTTAAATCACCATTTTCCTATGGTTTCCTATAGGTCCTATAGTTATACCTCCATTTTTGGTGTTCATTTGCTAGCCCCTCCGTAAAGACACTGCTGGAGTTCGACTAGTGATGGATCACTTTTTCAACGCCTAAAGATTTCTATCTTGGGGATAGGGTTTTTCCTGGGATTTTGTTGATGGAACTTAGGGATTTCCTGTTGAGTTAGGAGGATTTAGGTGATTTTCAATTGAGATTCACTGGATTTCACTGGTATCTTGGGAATTACCTTCCGGTAACCAAACATACCCTCCAGTAAATTAACATAGACCCTGACAGATAGGAGTTGGAAGATTAGTTTCCACTAAAAAAGGGGTGATTTTCAGGGTCTATGTTAATTCAGCAGAGGGTAGCATCGGAAATCCCCTCAAAATGGAGCGTTGATAGGAAAACTTATCTACAAATAAACTAACATAGCTATTGAAAATGGCCATAGAAATAGTGGATTTTCCCATTAAAAATGGTGGATCTTTCCATTGCTTTTTGTATGTTCACCAGAGGGTATCTACAAATATTGGACTACCGGAGGGTAATCCCATCTTCCCATCTTCCCATCTTCACCCCATCTTCATTGGTCCTACAATGTCCCACAGATGTTTTCCCCATCCTGTTCCCCATGGGTTTTTTTGGAGGCTGTTTACTATTTGGGGCTTGGGATTTGAATAGTGGTAAATGAAAAAACCTACTAATATCACAAGCTGAATAGTAAACCATCCAAACATATTACCATACACGGATTGTAAAAACTATCCCAAAGGGTCAGCTTATTGGTGCGTTTGCTGCATCAAAAATGTAGCACATTACTCAGGGTTGCTCCTAATACTTCAGCTACAAGTGGGGGAAACTAGGTACAGGGGTCAAATGACGAATTTCCACCCTTGTGGATACCATTTACCTATAATAGGTCGAGCAACCCAAGAAGTGCATTGTATGTAGCCGTATGGTATATGGTGATTGAATGGCTTTAACCCAAAAAAAACTGATTTCCTTGGATATATCAGGGATATTCATAAGGAAATCACGTTTTACCCATACTTTGATGGTTCACCCCGTTGTCTGCCCTCCGTCTCCCCAGGGTGGTGGTTGTGTAGCTATATCTTTAGGCTTTGTGGTGATGAAATAAGTGTTATGTTTGATCATGGTCAATCTGACTGGTAGTCTACAGGAGAAAAAGATAAGTCCTCTTTAGCTTGGCTGGAGATGTTCCATTGATAGCACAAAAATATAAAGGATTAAACTACCTATCCAAAGCTGGTAAATCGATCCCTAGTGAATGCCGTGAACATCAACCAACACAGATAGTTGGGCTCAAATGCTGCACCACAAGCACGCTTATGTACAAACGCAAAAAGGTGAACATATCGAACTGAACATGCGGAAGCCAGAAAGATAATTCCACTTGCAAGGTGGCGCCCCCCAGTTATGTTTGGTTTATAAACCCAACGAAGTAGTTCGCCGTTCTATCCTCCATAAACCCGTTTCAGTTCAGCAAATGATCTGCGTCAACTTGGTCATTTCATAAACGGGGTCCTCACCTTGCATATTATCACCATAAAATGTCAGTATAATCATTGGTTATATGTATAAATCATATCCATTCAATCCATTACATATATATATATGGGTAAATTATAAGGACCTCACTGCCACCTCACTGGAATGATGCTTAGTAGGGGAAACAATAGGGACATCATCCTCAAATGGCCTTGTTTCAGGTTAGTGAAATATTTTAATTTACCCATATATTATATATTATATATAATACCCTCTGGTAAACAAACATAACTATGGAAAATCACCATTTTTGATGGTTAAATCAACTATAAATGGCCATTTGAAATAGTTTTTTGTAAGTTTACCAAAGGGTAGTTTACCATTGTCATCCCACTATTCACCATTGTTAACCATAGAAAATCACCATTTTCCTAGTGGTTAAATCAACAGTTTCCTATGGTTTGCCATGTGCTCCCATCCCCAACTTGGTTTGGTTTCATGAGCGAAAACGTTGGCGAATTGTTGACGACTCCCTGGGACTTCCCAACGCGGTTGATGTGATTGCGCCAGTGCGCATCATCGCAGCTGAAGCCGAGCCTGGCGGCATGGCCTGGCCTGGGGGCCTGTGCCCCTGGGGACAGGGGCTATGGGGATGTGAGAAGTGTTGCTTTTATATAATATATATATATTGTAATTAATAACAATAATATTAATAATAATATAAATAAAAGCATTAATAATAATATTAATAATATTATTGATAATAATGATATTAATAATAATATTAATAATAACATGAATAATATTAACAATATTAATAATATTAATAATAATATTTATTTTTTTAATAATAACTTTAATAATAGCTATCAATAATAATATTAACAACAATAATAATATTAATAATAATAAATAATAATATTATTAATAATAATATTTAAAAAATAATATTTAGAATAATAATAATAATATGTATAATAATATCAATAATAATAATATTAATAATAACATTAATAATATTAATAACAATAATTATAATAACATTAATAACAATATTTTTTTAAAAAAAATAATAATAACAATATTGATAATAATATTAATAACATTAAATAATATTAATATTAATAATAACAATATGAATATTAATATTAATATGAATAATAATGTTAATATTAATAACAACATTAATAATACTAATATTAATAATATTATTAATAATATCAATAATAATATTAATAATAATGTTAATAATGAGATTTGAAAAAAAAAACATTAATAATAATATTAATAATAATATTAATAAAAATATTAATATTAACAATAATGTTAATAATAATATAAATCAAAATATTAATAATAACATTAATAATAATAATATTAATAATAATGTTAATATTAATAATAATATCAATAATATTAAAAATGGACATGTTAATAAAATATTAATAATAATAATAATAATATTAATAATAATATTAATAAGAATATTAATAATAATATTAATAATAATATTAATCATAATATTAATAATAATATTAATATTAATAATAATAATAAATTAATAATGTTAATGATAATATCAAGAATAACATTAATAATCATATTAAAAATAAGATTAATAATATTAATAATAATATTCAAAACACAATTAATAATAATATTAATAATAATATTGAATAATATTAATATTAATATTGAATAATATTAATATTAATATTGAATAATATTAATATTAATATTAAATAATATTAATATTAATACTAATAGTAATATATATATATAATAATATGAATAATATTAAGAAAATTAATAATAATATTATTAATAATAATATTAATAATAATATTAATAATGATATTAGTAATAACATTAATAATAATATCATTATTATATCAACATTAATTAATGTTGGCAAATACATAAATATATAGATACTTAAATATTGATGATATAATTATGTAAAGAAAATATTCAATATCGGTGATTATACATATACATATATATATACCCGTGGGGAGTGACATCTTTGGGACTTTTGATGATCTAAGCTCCAAAAAAGAAAAAAAGCAAACACAAATGCATGGCCACAATTCATCCAGTTTCAATGGTAATCAATGTGCTAACCCCAATAATAACCGATCTCATTAACCAATCATTCAAATAATCTGGGTAAATTATAATATTTCACTAACCTGAATTAAGGCCATTTGGGGATGATTTCCCTTACTAACCATGATTTCCAGTGAGGTCGTAGTGAGGTCGTTATAATTTACCCAGAATAATCCAATATGGGGCATATACCCAATAATAATCCTCTTTTGGGGATGTGTTATTGTTCGATTTCACATGATTTCACTTCATCAATACAAGGTGGGCCTCCCCAGTTCTCTTTCCTGGTCTATAAATTTATAACCCCTGTTGACTATAGAGACATCTAACATCTGGAAAATTAACAGTTGGACCCTGAACATCACCAGTTTTGAGTGGACATGAATCTTCCAACCCTTCTGGCAGGGTCTATGTTAATTTACTAGAGGGTAACATCTAACGCATACAAGACTCATTGAAGTCCAGCCAGCTCACCAAATTTGGGCCAGAATTCTTTCAGAATTCGTAAATGACCAGTTGAGCTAGCCACGACTAACTGGAACTGCACTGCCGACTGAGAATAAATTGCTTTTAAACTCCAGTTACGATAGATGTGCAATCCATCGTTTACAGTTACAAAACTGTAGATTTGCCATTATGTGAATTGCTGGAGGGTAAATCCCGCATTTACAGTGTGGCGTCCAGTGATTCTTACTGGTTTATAAAGCTGATTTTGCCTAATATCAATTAGGAGATTTCTAAAAGCAACAGTTATAAGCGCGTATACATTATACAAACTGGAGCATAATCTTGCATTGGATTAATGTTCATTGGTTAAATCCCTATTATTCCAGCTGAAAGCCCCCATTATATCCCCATTATTAACCATAATTTGGGTGGTAAATCCCCAATTCATCACACTCAAATCAACCATTTATATCTCTATCCTGTATCCCAATAGATCCCTATTCTTTCGCACAGATTTGCTCGGACTGCAACATTGAGGATGCCCTGTTGTCGAACATGATAAGAGAGATTGCAGACAATACTGCGTATACGCAGTGTTTTCTTGTTTAGGATTCAGAGTGTTCAGGGTTTATGGTTTTAGGATGTTTTAGGATTTAGGCTTTCAGGGTTTTAGCGTTTAGGGTTTTAGGATATAGAATTGAGGAAATACCAAAACACTGGCCCTATACAGGTATTTGGGCATGTTCCGGGCACACCATAGGGTCTTGTCGTACTATGGGTGAAAATGTTAGGCCTTGGTTTGCTAAATTGACCTCAAGATTCGATGGCTTTCCCCATGTTTTTGTCGCGCCTTAGAAGAGTTTCGTTCTTGTCCAACAGCTGGCCAAATGCCTCTTCCACTGGCCTAAAGGCATAGCCAAAGATCACAACTGGTTGGTGTTTTTTCGCAAGCCCTCTGAAAAATGATGGAGTTCGTCAGTTGGGATGATGACATTCCCAATATATGGAAGGTATTGGAAAGTCATAAAAGCCATGTTCTAAACCAACAACCAGACATCAATGGGGATCCATTGTTGGGGGCTTCCAAGGTCAAACAGACCTAATACCCGAAGGTCACACTCAAAAAAGATCGTGAAGAACCCATGGTTTTTCTCGACGTCTACAAATGGGCTCAGTTTTCCACATCTATGTAAGCGTTTACAGGCGGGTGTTACTGTTTGCATGCACCTTTCACATGTTCGGAAAATGTGGATGTTGAAACACTAGAATGGTATGGCAATGGTTTTTTTTGGTGTTTACATGTACATGTTGGAAGCAAATTATTCGGTCCATCCACAAATAATTAGAAATAAGTGCATCCACCAACAAAAAGAGTCAACCCTCTCATATTCTCTCTGTTTAAATGGTGAATCCCATTTGAGAATGGTTCATCCAGTTTTCCCTTTTGTGTTGATGTCTCATGATTCTGTGCATCCATTCGAGGATCAACCTTCAGAAGAGGTGGCAACATCATCCCCCAGAAAATCCAGGCTGGTAATCATTTTGTATTGACAGTTCTTCCAATTGTTCCATATCTATTGTTTTTGTTCACATGTCTACACCTTTATGACATCGTTATTTGTGTTTTGGTCTAATGCGCGGCAGGTGGTTTTTTCCGAACAATCCCGGCAGGAAGGACTTGATCCTCCAGTGGTGACATCCAGGCCCAAAAAATGCTTCCCAAAAACTCCAATGGTCGGGCAATTAATTAAGCTCCATGAAAATTGTTCAGGTCAGTTTTTGAACCCAAAAAAACAAACACTGGTTGGTGGTATACCTATCCCTCTGAAACTGCTAGCAGAGCATGCTGAAAGCACATGGTAAGGCAAAAACGGCAAGGAAAAATGGGCGACCAAGCTGGCAAAGTCAGCGAAACAAATGCCAGCAGGGCAACGCGATTGGAAAATGATGGAGTTCGTCAGTTGGGATGATGACATTCCCGATATATGGAAAAATAAAAATGTTCCAAACCACCAACCAGAACATTAGTGTGGGAAAAACCAGCATAAACCACCCATGACTGGGAATGGTTATATATACCACCTATAAAAATGGTGATTTTTCTGGGCGATCGTAAACATGGTATTGTTTTACCTGCATGAAACTATTTTTTGGGTGGTCGTTGACCTCGCTTCCCCTTTGCCAAAAACCTCAGGGTTTCTCACAGCAGCTCTGGGCCTCCAGGCCGACCGAAGAAATTGCCAGTGCCCTTCTGCTGTGAAAACCGCAAACTTTCGAGTTTACTGCGCGGCCGCATGGTGAACGCAGCAGAGTGGTGTTATGAAAAGGTGTGTTATACCGCGAAAATTTATGTTTGTTGTTTGATATCCTCCATGACCCTCCATTAACTACAGCTATTGTAGCTGTTTTTGTCATAAATCCTGGTTAAACATGGTTAAACTAGTTATAACAGTTGCAACAACTTAGCTACAAAGGGGGCCACGCCTGTCTTTGCACTGACGTGCCGAGAACATCAGAGAATACGAGGTGGATCGGAAATCACCCATTTTTCCATATTTTTCCCAGTGTTCAAAAACGTGTGTCGTCCCTCTAAGGGCTATCCGCTCATGAACTGTGATATTCCCAATAACTATTGGATAGTACAATCCCCGAACTGACCATCAACCAAGCGTCTTTTTTCCCTTATCAATACCCACCGGAGCGCCAAATCATACTGGGTCAGAGCGCCGAAGAAAATGGCCCTCTGAAAAAAACCTGGAACACCTAATCTTCACTGGTTAAATTGGTGAAAAATAAAAATCCTCACGAATCAGATTCGTGTTCATCCCAACTATATCCCATGTCATCCCAAACTTACTGAATGGGATGATCCACCAATTTTTCGCAGTGTCTCAAAACCCTCTGTGATTCTGTTCTACTGGCTGCTTAAGAACGGGATTTGCATCGTGGATTTCGATGCATCCACCATGGATTTCTCATATGAATTCATATGAACAATATCCAATAGTATAGCATCATTAGCTCAATCTTCTTCAACCCATCTAACTACCAACATTTTCAGAACCCATACTTAGTAACCAAATATCACCAGTGTGAAATGTTCATAGCTCGATAGAATCAATGGTGATTTGGTAAATATCACTCATGTGGGTAAAACAATGTCATCAACCACCCCATTTTTGATGGTTGAAATCCCACCCATAAAAATGGTGATGACTGGGGGGTGGTTTATTGTTGTTTTACCCACTGGCAAACGTTTACATACCTATGGAAAATCACCATGCTATTAATGGCTAAATCCACTATTTCTATGGCCATTTTCAATAGCTATTTGTATATGTTTACCAGAGGGTAACCCATGCTAACCCCCGAACTTCACCAGGCATGGAAAGTGCTCTCGGCCTGGTGGGATTCTCCAGCAAACAGGTGGCCTGAAAGACAGCCGGATTCGCGAGCGCGCCACCGTCATAAGCCTCTACTGTAACTGTAACTGTTGAGTTAGGGAACCATGGCTGGTACCCTCTGGTAAACCTACAAAAAACTATGGAACATCACCATTTTCAATGGGTAAATCAACTATAACATGCTGATAATCCGAATATTTGGCTTACTGGTGCTAAACGTAGGGAATGGATGGGTTGCTGTGGGAGTAGGATTATTGATAGTTAGCCAGTGGATCATTCCCGAAAATTCCCTACGTGTAGCACAAGTAAGTAACTGTACACTCCAAAAGGCAAAACAGGATCACTTTTGCTGGTAACCGCCACGCCGAAAAATCCTGTTTCGCATCATGTTGGCGAAAGTGATGTTCTTGGTGCAAGCAACAGATTTTCTTGGGTCAAATCCCCAAATCATGGGCAGTCTGCGAAGTGCTAAGGGAATTATTGGGTAAACCCAATTATAACTGGTTGGTGGTTTTAACCATCTTGAAAAATATTAGTCAATGGGAAGGATTATCCCATATATTATGGAAAATAAAAAATGTTCCAAACCAGCAACCAGATAAACATCCAATTTTTGGACGCTGTTTACCACCCGATTTATGGCAATGTTGAGAGAATGGTCTATGAAATTGGGTGGACCACATTACTAAACAAAGGTAGTAAACCCACATGTTTACTAATACCATGGATGGGAAAATCATGATAGCCATTGATAAACAACCATTCTGGGTAAATTATAATATTTCACTAACCTGAATCTTGCGGCCATAAAAGGGGATGATTCCCCGAATCCTAACCATGATTCCAGGGTTCGAGAGAACAGGGTTCGGTCGTGATGAAATTTACCCAGATACATGTATTAAAATTTATAGTTCAATCCCAATCTATATCCCCATTTTGTTGATGATTGGTGGTTAAATCCTAATACTAATTGGTCCCCAGGGTTTATCGATGGTCGGAACCAACCATCCCCAGGTGGTGGCGGATCCCAAGTTGACGAGGAACTTGGCGGCTTTGAAGATAGATATGTTGCTGCAAAGAACGAGGCTAAGTGTGATGTGTGATATCTATATATAGATACATTTTAAAAAAATAAGATGGGATGATGAAATTCCCAATATATGGAAAAATAAAATTCATGTTCCAAACCACCAATCAGATAAGGTCAATAAGGTTGGAATATATCACCAAAACATGAAATTTCCCTTGGGTTGCTGGATAATAAGTTAAGATAAGGTGAAAATATCACCATTCACACGCTTTCACACTAATGTGGGCAACACAATTATATAAACCTACCATTTGGAGAACGTTTATACCACCCATAAAAAATGATGATTTTTGGGATAGTTTATCAAAATGATAGGTTTACCACCCTTCTTCATCGTTCCATATTCCATTGCCAATCTTGAAAAATCATACTAATCCGATACCAAAAGACTAAAGGCCTTGGTTTCTACCTTTTACCAGTTAAAAGTACTTATAACATCTTAAAACCCCATATATGGAATGTATAATCCCATGGAAATAACCAGTTATTTCACCATTCAGTACGTATACCCCATTTATGGAACATATATGAATATATAATCCCATTTATAACCAGTGATTTCACCATTTATAATTGATAAACGGCTTAGTTTCTACCCATCCAAGATTGACCTAGCTTTCCCCTTGTCGTGCCACATCTCCCGCTGAAGTTTCCGGACAAAATCCTTCACCGAGGCCGAGTCCAAACAATTGTTCCTGGCGCTGGATGACCCAAGTCATGACATTTTTCAAATTGAGAACGGGGGAACTACCAATGTAAATCTTTGAGGAAGACTATGATTTACTGATAATTATTTATATAAACCAAATTGGGAACAGATTGGATTTACTGTCAATCTATCTGTAAATCTTCAAGTAAGCCACGCTCCAAGCTATGATTTTTTGTCACAATCAAACATGTGGAGAGTCCATTTCGATGTTGGCTTCTCGAACTCTACAAAAAGAGATCATCATCCGATCACTAGCTACACTTGAAGACTTCTTCAACGCCTCAAAACAAACCGCTTCGCCAGTTCGACTGAGGCTGCGGACTCCACGTTCACATGAACAACACTGTTGTTCCTGTGCGGCAACGCACAATTGGGACTCCAATAGGAATATATCATAAAGATATAAGGGAAATATAATGGAAAAAATGGGAATATAACCGACAATGCGGAAACATGTACATACAATATGTATAATTGTATATATATATAATAGACAGCCTCAATCAAGGGATTTGTCTGTGCAAGTCTGCAGTTGAAGTCATGGCAAAAATACCCTCAAATTGATCGGGGCTCCTGTGAATTCCCTGACATTTTCTGACCATCCAATTCGACCAGGACATCCGAGCTGTTTTCGAAGGAGTGCTGAATTATTGCTGTGATATCCATCCAGAATTTATATTGCTGGCTGAATTACAAGACTTCACGAACCTGGAAATAGCGGGCCACTACCCCACCCCTGCAGCTAAGGGGATGATTCACTTCATCATCATTCCACTGATGCCACATTGAGGTCATGATCAAATTCATCCAGATCATATTGTTATGTACTGGTTGGTGGTTGACCTACCCCTCTGAAAAATATAAGTTCGTCAGTTGGGATGATGAAATTCCCAAATGAATGGAAAGTCATGAAATTCATGTTCCAAAGCACCAACCAGATATATGTTTCTGACATCCCTGGGAATGCCCAAAATTTCGCTGAAAATGGGGTGTCCATTTTGAGATGCATCCCTGGGAATCGAAGTGGTGATCTTCACCTATTTCCTGAGATTCAACCACTGTTAAAGAAGCACCTTGGACGTTGCTTCATAAGTTACTTTCTAACTAAGTTAAACTATGCTTTGTGGCAAATATCTGTAGTAGATAGGCTTATAAACCCATTTACGGTTGCGGGCACCCACATTGACTCCATCTCCCCAAAAAAGTTCGGTTCACGCATGGCATGACAACCTTGGAGTTGAGTCGGGGGTTAGAAAACCACTTTCGAAGCTGAACATGGGTTATGTTCAGGGTCTGTCCAACATTGAAATTCCATGTGTGGAATATTATGTATATCAGCTGTTTTACCAAATATCAACTAGAATTGTGAAATTTATATACTTCTGATGCAATCATACATGTTTCTTTGCATGTCACTTTGGCCGATTCTCATAATGTGGTAAACCCAACAAACCATCCACGTTTGTTATTGTGTTTACTACATTATACATACATATATATATATATGTATACACAAACATATTCTGAAGTTTTATATCATGTGGTAAACCCAACAATAAAAGCAATTACACCGATGCGATAACTCACCAGCAATCACACATCCCATACAGTTATGGCCCTTTACCAATTATAAGTACTTATATATAACCCCATTTATGGACTTCGCATAGAAATAACCAGGTATAACAATTTATAATTAGTAAACGGCCATAACTATAGTGACAACATGTGACACCTCCTACAAGGATGAGCGCATTACCCCGTACAAAATAGGCAACTGTTGCCGACCTTCTCTGAAATGGCCCACGGCAAAAGGTTAAATCTCCTGTAGTACTTGGTGGTCAACTAGCCACGGATCCTAAGTGGGTTATAACCTGCTTATCATCAAGTGGGACAAGTAGGGTATTCATCCACTGAAATAACTAGGGCGAACTAACCGACTTAGGAAGTGGGTTGAACCACCAAGTATAGCGACATGTTCTCCGGCATGATTTGATGGAGTCTTCCAGCACGGCACCAAGTCCTTCCCGAAGTTTGAGATGAACAGTTCGCCATGGAAAATCACCATTTTTAATAGGTAAACCATCTATAAATGGGCCATTTCCCATGGTTATGTCAGCCATAACCAGAGGGTAAGTCAGAAATGGAGGCCTTTGAGGAAATTTCTATCCAAGCCAGTGCTCTAGTGCTTATGTCAAAGATCTTGATGTTGGTCACCTTCTCCAAAATGCTCAAAATCAGGGTCACCAGGGCCAAATTGAATTGTGAACGCTGTGCAAGTCGAAGTTCGTTTGCATGAAGTCCATAGACATTGGTTTCTTTCTTAAATAATCATACATATTCATTAAACCGAATTATAGTTCCATTATGTGTATATATATAATTATATATATATAGTTGGGTTTACCACATTATACTGTGAAATGGTTCCTTTCTCCCATTCTCAGGGTCTTCGCTCCGCTCGTGACACCGAGTCGCTGAGCAAGAGAGGCTGCTAAAACGCTGCCCTCCGCCTGAGACCGAAATGGAAAGAATATGGCGACTTAGCCACAAAAACAACAGCACAGTTATGGCCCAAAATACCAGTTATAAGTACTTAGAAAACCCCATTCATGGAATGTAGAATCACAGAGAAATAACCAGTTATAACCATTGATAATTGGCAAACGGCCTTAATCCATCAGAAATTCTGACTTAACAATGAAATACTGATGGATTTAACTGATGAAAAATCATCCAAGATGGTGTCGTGAAACCACCCGACAAAAAATATCTTCGCATCGAAAATGGGAACTTTGCTGAAAATATGATCTGGTTGGTGGTATACTAACCCCTCTGAAAAATATGAAAGTCAGTTGGGATGATTATTCCCAATATATGGAAAAATAAAAAATGTTCCAAACCACCAATCAGTGATGATTTAGCTGCACACATAGGGACTTAGTTATCAAGAAATGGGATGCAAAAAATCATGAATGGAAGGGGGTGCTCCATAATAACGATTGAATTTCTATTACAGTATATACCCTCTGGTAAACGTTTACATAACGAACTGGAAAATCACCATGTTTAATTAGGGGATTCATCAACTATTTCGACTGGGCCATGACTTCAATAGCTATGGCTTGACATAACCAGGCCGGGTAGACGTATCCCTATACTTTTTGGATCTTAAAAACCCGAGGGCCGTTAGGCAAACAGAGGGCACCACAAGCAGTGGATCTCAGGGCCCTGAAACTCCACTTTCTGCTTGGTGGTTGACCTACCCCCTCTGAAAAATGATGGACTTCGTCAATGGAAAGGATGACATCCCATATATGAAATGGAAATATTATGGAAAAAAAAATGTTTGAAACCACCAACCAGCTTTAGGATGTTTACTTATTTTTCTAGGTACTTTGGAGCGTCTAGGTATAATATATATATACATGCATATATGGCCCATTATTTGGTGGCCCCCCTTCCACCCCCACGAGATGGTGATGGTCTCCATATGTATCCGTGATCACGAGATACGGGATCATATACACAGATGTTGGTCATCATCTTAGGAAGGGTTTGGGGATTTGGTGACACCAGTTTACTATTCATTGGAATTTCCCTGTGAAGAGAATCGAATATCTGATTCGGGGCTTCCAGCGGTGAAGTACAACGGCAATGATTATTGTGAATTACAGGAAGGGACCCCAGTTCGTCAGCTAACTTGGTTCATAAGTATAAGAACTAGGATTTATGATGGCTATATCTATCGCCCTTCCTGTAGAGATAGATTGAATCACACCCATTTTCTCTTATATCATTGGTGACATGGGTATGGGTCAAAATCAGGTACTCCCAAAATGGATGCTTAGTACAGGAAGGGGCCCCATACTTAGCTAAGCTGACTTATAACTAGGTTAACTATTGGGTTAGGGCATATAACTATAACTATATTGACTATATGGTTTAAAAAGGTCTATAAACCAACTTATACTCTCTGGTAAACGATTACATAACGAACTGGACAATCACCATGCTATTGATGGGTAAATCCACTATTTCTATGACCATGCTCAATGGTTTTTTGTATGTTTACCAGAGGGTATATGGTGGTTATATGGGAACAATAGGATTATATCATCCCCAACTGGATGGGTAGTTGGATCACCATTTTTTTTACCAGAGGGTAACTAGGGGGCCCCTTCCTGATTAGTCAAGACTCGGTGGTCCCCTGGCTCTAAAATTATGGGACCCATACCGGCTGCTAGGAGAGATCTTCGACGGCGAACCGGCTAAGCTACTTGGGGCCCCGGGGGCCCCACTTACCCTCTGGTAAACATACAAAAAACTATTGAAAATGGCCATTTATAGTGAGTTGTCCCATTAAAAATGGTGATATTCCATAATTAGTTTTGTTAGTTTACCAAAGGGTAGTAAATGGGTGACAAACCCCCACTTATATATGGAATATCCCCACTATATGAGATATAAACGACGTATCCGCGTCGTTTGCCCCATCAAGTACCACAATCCCACCATAATCCCAGATGCGACGAAATCGTTTCACCTTGTGTAGATTGGAGTTCACCAATGACAACGTGTGGATGTGCGTATTGCTTGCCATCGCCTGATTCGCAAACGTGTAGCGAAGTGGTTTCCCGGGGAACTGGGGTACAGGGCTGGGGAAAATATGTATATGCATATGTATATGTATATAATGCGTATATGTATATAATAATGATGATAAAGATAATAATAATAACAATAGTAACAATAACACATACAATAATATTATATATATATATGCACATTATATACATAATTTGAGAAAAATATAGATAGATAGATAGATAGATAGATAGATAGATAGATAGATAGATAGATAGATAGATAGATAGATAGATAGATAGATAGATAGATAGATAGATAGATAGATAGATAGATGTGGTTGGCTAGGAAATCCCAAAGCTAAACGAGCAAAAATCGCCAAGTGGCCTACCCTTCAGTCAGTCTGTTTACTCCCCAGATAGATAGATAGTAGATAGATAGATAGATAGATAGATAGATAGATAGATAGATAGATAGATAGATAGATAGATAGATAGATAGATAGATAGATAGATAGATAGATAGGTAGATAGATAGATAGATTGTGAATCGGAGGTTGTCTATCCGATTATATTCTGATACTTGGTCTTGAAGTAGATACTTCAATGATGACGTCACACGGGTGGCGGCTTCTGCATAGCAGTTCTTTGTTCTGGTGCTGCAGTGGGTCTTGAGCCAAAGGGGCGATTTGATATACCCCCTTGGCAATGGATCCTAGAGTATTGAATTGTATGTGAATGCACAACGGTACGTAGCCTACACTCTATTCGCACCCCCCACGCATAGCCAACTTTGTTGGCTACGCGCAAAGGAGTGTTCCTCAAATTGATCCACTACACTTGCAGCTGTTCATTTATTGAATTATGGAGAGCTAAAGTCCGTTCAGAACTTCAAATCTACATGGCGGCTTGCTACGATCTCTATCAAAAGATAAAGGTTCTGTTCACGTGCATGTTGACACGACGTAGTCGGTGTCAAGCATTGAGGTTCATCCGATGTGGCGTAGCCAGCATGGAGTCCCACTCAAGCATGTGAATTTAAAAAATCATACACAAAGATGACTATGGAACTAGAAGTTTACCTTCCCGTTCCTTCGTCGGTTGAGATGTAGACCGCTGTAGAAACTCAGCGTCTCGTGCAATGATGTTCAAAAAAAAATGTGTGGTTCTAAATTAGCCGGCTCAGAGTCCTCTCAGAAATCATTCGAAATGAAGTAGAGGTAAATCTCGAGCAATGATTGCATCCTCGCATCGCCAGGTTCAATCAGGACCTATGCAGAGGTCATATCGATTTATCATCTATATCCCCATCCATAGTATCCCTGTTGGTTCCAGTCTCCACCACGGTGCGAATAAGATCTTCCACCTTTTCCTTGGTCTTTTCCACCTTTCTGCGGCGGGGTTACTGGAGCTTGTTTTGGCGGAGGAGCGGCTTCGACGGTTCTCCATGTTGCTGACGATGATGCTTTCGCTTTTGACACTCTGCCCAGTGCTGGTGCCGCCTTAGGGGCTGCTTTCGATTTGCCAGCGACCGGGTTAGCACGTTCACGATCAGCAGGAGTCGGGGTATCAGCAATCGCAAGTATGTGGGCGTCAGACATGTGGATGCCCCACCTTGGTCGTTGATCGTCCCGCTGCTTGATGTGGTTGTACCCTAAGTCTCGAAAGTTAGTAATTTTACTCGCCCTGAATTTTACGTAAAATCGACTGTTTTACTAACGTTATTTTACGTAAAATTTTACTATCGTTAGTAAAATTTACTAACGTTAGTAAAATTTTACTAATGTTAGTAAATGATTTTACTAACGTTAGTAAAATTTTGCATGCTTTCAAAAATTGTGAAAATTGCGTTTTTTTTCTAATGTTTTTCTTAGGAATTCTGATATTTTTTGTGATGTGTCTGATTGTGGTTTGCGATGATTTGGTTATGAGTGGGGTGTTTCCAGTGGAGGATTTCAATCGATATGTTGTTGTTACTGTAGAAGAAACTGCACTTATGTGTTGAGGAATGACTTTACATGAGTTTGTATTGGAGACTTTACTTGCGATTTTATATGAGGAGTTCTTGATACTTTCTTGGGACTTTACCTGAGAGTTCTTTTGAGATGTTATGTGAAATCGTGTACATCTATATCTATATCTATATATCTATATAAACATATAAACTGGATTTACATAATAATAGGTGAATCCACAAAAGGAATTTACATTGGATCTTGACTTTAAGAAGTCATTGCAAAGCATTTACATTTGAAAAAGAAAGTCTAGATAAATTTTTGGGTAAATGAGACTAGGTGAAATATCAAAGCAATAATAACCACATCTTATCATTTTTCCCAGGCAAGGAAAGTGAACCAAATTTTATTGGATCAGGTTTGTTTGCTACAAAACTTGATCAACTTACATAAAACAAGTGTCCATGGGGACTGAAGACATGTCTTTTTCAAAGCTAAATTTAAAAGGGAGCTCATAGACTCTTGCGGTGCTTTTTTTCTCATACAATTTGGAGAAGGTCTGGATGAAATCCTGGTAAACCTTTGGCTGGCTTGAAAAGATACATCCAAGAAGTCTTAGTGAGACCCTTACTCCACTTTCAATTCCATATGAATATTTTTTCACATGTGTCCAAAGTTTTTTCAGAAAAATGCTTGAACACGGTCAAAAATGCAATGCACTTCTGATGCTTTTGGTGCACTTTTGATGCACTTTTGGCGCACTTTTGATGCACTTTTGGTGCACTTTTGATGCACTTTTGATGCACTTTTGATGCACTTTTGATGCACTTTTGATGCACTTTTGGCGCACTTTTGATGCACTTTTGATGCACTTTTGATGCACTTTTGATGCACTTTCAAAAGTGATGCACTTTTGATGCACTTTTGATGCACTTTTACCGCTTTTTGATGCACTTTTGATGCGCTTTTTAAAAGTGCATCAAAAGTGCGTCAAAAGTGCGTCAAAAGTGCGCCAAAAGTGCGTCAAAAGTGCGTCAAAAGTGCGTCAAAAGCGCGTCAAGAATTTATGGCATTTTTCTTGGAAAAAATAAAAGATGATAAGGTTCTCTCTCAAAAAGAGATTGCATGCATTGAGTTTGAAGTAAAACTCATTCAGTGCAGTCTCAAGTAAGGTGCAAAGTGCAATGATAGCAACCTCAGTAAAGTTCACTGACAACAGTCTCAAGTAAAGCTCACTGGCAACAGGCCCGAGTAAAGTTCATTGGATGCAGCCTCATGTAAAGTTTATTGGATGCAGCCTCAAGCAAAGTTCATTGGATGCAGTCTCGAGTAAAGTTCACTGACAGCAGTCTCAAGTAAAGTTCACTGACAACAGGCTCAAGTAAAGTGCACTGACAACAGTCTCAAGTAAAGT